TCGCCCTGGGTAGAGTGCTGTGGTGTCACAACTCACAGCAACCTCCAACTTCTGGGCTTAGGCAATTGTCTTGCCTCACCCTCCCGAATGGCTGGGACTACAGGTGCCCACCACAACGCCCACCTTTTTTTTTTGAGACAGAGCCTCAAGCTGTCGCCCTGGGTAGAGTGCTATGGGATCTTAGCTCACAGCAACCTGCAACTCCTGGGCTCAAGCAATTCTCCTGCCTCCGCCTCCCAAGTAGCTGGGACTACAGGCACCCCGCCACAACGCCCAGCTATTAACGCTGGGCTATTTTTTTGTTGCAGTTTGGCTGGGGCCGGGTTCAAACCCACCACCCTCCATATATGGGGCGGTGCCCTACCCACTGAGCCACATGTGCCACCCACTTGTGACGACTATTTTATCAAAACTAAGAATTTATACACTAAAGTAAGAAAGCCCTGGACCTTATCAGAGAACCAATTCTCATCTATAAGGATTTCTCAAGGATTACTTGAGAAAGATAAAGGGTCCAGTATAGACCTGTTATGTACTAGAACTTTAAACAAAAAAGAATGAGAAAACACCAGTTTTGGATATACTAATCTTTTGGTATTGAGGGTGATGGTTAAGTAAAGGTATATTTAGGAACTAAATACGTAGGGAATAATTAAAGGAATAATTAAGTTATTTGCTTGTTTCTAGGGTCATTCCTAACTGTCAGTTCAGATCAAAAACAGCACGTCTCAAAACTTTTACAGCTAACCAGATAGATGAAATCAAAGACCCTTCTGGACTCTTTTATATCCTTCCTTTTCAAAAGGTAATCCTTTTGTGTCATTTCTAGCATTGTAGAGTTAAACAAGTTGGGGTTTTTTTTGTTGTTTTTTGCAGTTTTTGGCCGGGACCTGCAGCATATGGGGCTGGCGCCCTACTCCTTTGAGCCACAGGCGCTGCCCGAGTTAAACAAGTTTTTTATTGTGTGTATAAGGCCGTGTGTGTCTGTATAAAACACCTTTAGGTTTCTCAGAAAAGGTGACTTAAATTTTAACTAAGATCTAATTAAACCAAATACTGAGATTCAGTTGATTAGGACAAAACAAATGACAATGATTTAGTTACAGATTGTGAGTTGCTAAATTTTACTTACGTTAAACCTAAACATTATGCACATATTAATTTAAGAAAATATATTTAGAGAGTCATCTCTATATGTTGTTGCATCTTTTGAACCCTTGACATCTCAGTTATTTATTTGTAATTTTTTTAACTTTTAAAAGGAGAAAAACATACCAGTGTAATTAAGTAAAATTCATATAGCAGTAGACTAGAGAAGGTAATGATAATCATAAATCATAAACACATAGATCATGTATACATTAATGCATTTATGGGGTACAATGTGCTGATTTCATATACAATTAGGAACGCTTACATCACACTGGTTAATTAACACACACCTCATCTTGTTTACTTAATTATTGTGTTAAGACATTCATACTCTATAATTAATAGATTGGACATGTATCCTTGCAATATGCACCGTAGGTGTGAACCCACCATTCACCCTCCCTGGATGTGACCTCCTCTTTGCCCTCCCACCCCCGCTCCTCCCTCCTTCCTCCTGGGCCATAGTTGTGATCTATTCTATATATGAAAGTGTGATTGGAAATTGGTTTCATAATAGTACTGAGTACGTTGGATATTTTTTCTTCCATTCTTGAGATACTTTACTAAGTAGGATATGTTCCAGCTCCATCCATGTAAATGTAAAAGAGGTAAAGTCTCCGTCTTTTTTAAGGCTGCATAATATTCCATGGTGTACATAATCGGATTTTTAAAAATTGTTTAAATATTCTTCATAATCATAAAAATGTTTTTTAGGGCTACTTGGTGAATTGGGATGTCCAAAGACAAGTGTGGGATTACCTTTTTGGAAAAGAAATGTATCAGGTAACAAATTAGAGTATGTATTCAAATTGTATTTCTCTGTCTTATTTGAATGAAAAATTAGAACTTAATATTTGGAGATTTATAAATGTATGAGTGTTTCCAGTACATATTTAACTCCATTTTAAATATAGCTTTCCCTAGCTTTGATTTTCTAAGTATTTAATAAATGCAAGTGAATAAAATTTCTATGTTGAAGTAGAGGTTGAGAAAGTCTTACCTTATAAGTGTTTAACCTTATCTGAAAGCAAGACTAAAATTTTACTTCTGGCTTTCGCCGGATATGCCATCTTCCAATAATTCACCAAAATGACGAACACAAAGGGAAAGAGGAGAGGCACATGTTCTCTAGGCCTTTTGGAAAACATGGAGCCGTACCTTTGGCCACATACTTGGGAATCTACAGGAAGGGTAATATTGTAGACATCAAGGGAACGATACTGTTCAGAAAGGCATGCCCCACAAATGTTACCACGGCAAAACTGGAAGAGTCTACAATGTTATCCAACGGGCTGTTGATACTGTTGTAAACAACCAAGTTAAGGGCAAGATTCTTGCCAAGGGGATTAATGCTCCTATTGAGTATACTAAGCACTCTAAGAGCCAAGATAGCCTCCTAAAATGTGGAGGAAAATGACCAAAAAAAGAAGGCAGCCAAAGAGAAAAATAAGATACCTGGGTTCAGCTGAAGCGCCAGACAAGGGCACTCCATGAGAACCAGAGCAAGGAGCCTGAGCTGCTAGAACTTATTCCCTATGAATTCATAGCATCATAGGTATAAAAAATAAAAGGCTACTATAAAAAAAGGGAAAATTATTTGATTTCTACTATTACTAGACCAATTCAGTGTATATTGTGTTTATGTTCACCATAGAATATTTGTTTACATATCTGAATGTGTGAATATTATAAGAGAATTTTGTACTTTTATTATCTATAGTATGGCTATAGGTATACTGAGAGAATGTTCAAGTTTTTAATACTTCTCAATGTGTGGGAGAGAATTATATAAAGTTGAATATCTTTTCTGAAAATTTTTATTTTCTGCTTTCTTTTAACAATGTAACCTAATTGTATGCATAAACTTGAATTTCTTTAAGCTTCTTGCTCTTTTCCTATTAAAAACATAACACCCCCGTACTTGTAGTTATTCATTACTTCTTTACAATTGTCTTTAAGCAATTCAACAGTAACATTTCATCAATGCTACCTTTAAGAGAGATAAAATTGAATAGTAGTTAAGTCCATGGATTCGGTAACTAGTCTCTCTGGGTTCAAATCCTAGCTGTTCCCTAAGTGGGTTTATGAATTTTGGTAACTTACTCATCTTTTCTTTTCTTTTTTTGGTTTTTGAGACAGAGTCTCACTCTGTTGCCTAGGCTAGGCTACAGAAACCTCAAACTTCTGGGTTCAAGAGATCCTCCTGCCTTGGCCTCCAGAGTAGCTGGGACTACAGGTGTGAGCAGCCACACCCAGCTAAGTTTTCTGTTTTTAATAGAGACAGGGTCTCACTCTTGCTCAGGCTGGTCTTGAGCTCCTGAGCTCCAAGGAGCCACTGCCTTGGCCTCCCAGAGTGCTAGGATTATCGGCATAAGCCAAGGTGCCAGCCTATTCAACTTCTCTAGGCCTCAGTTTGCTTATCTATTGAGTAAGGGTAATAATAAGACTTATCTCATGAAAATCATGTGTGCATTAAATAGTTTTGTTAATATATGTAATATAAGTGTTGATAATTATGAATTACAAAACTTCTTGTAATTTTTTTCCTCCCATAGGTTGATTTTTTGGATACTAATATTATTATCACAGAACCATATTTTAACTTCACTTCAATTCAAGAATCAATGAATGAAATTCTATTTGAAGAATATCAGTTCCAAGCAGTATTAAGAGTAAATGGTGAGTTAAAGTTTTCGTTAAAATTGAGTTATACGAATATAGATATGAATAGGATAAAGAAATCCTTAAAATCTCAGAATACTAGGTGGTATTCTTTAGTTCTGAAAGAAATACAAGTTGGAATTTCTTTTTCCTTTGTGATTTGTCATCCTCTTACAGGGAAAAACTTAGAATTTTATTTATTCATTCATTCATTTATTCATTTTTTTAAGGAAGAGCCTTACTGTCTCCCAGATTGGAGGGCAGTGACCTCATCATAGCTCACTGCAACCTCAAACTCCTGGTCTTAAGCAGTCCTCCTGCTTCAGCCTCCCAAGTAGCTGGGATTATAGGCATGTGCCACCATGTCCAGCTAAGTTTTATATATATATTTTTTAATAGAAATGAAGTCTCAGTTTTTCTTAGGTCTCAAACTATGGGCCTCAAGCATTCCTTCTACCTGGGCCTCCCAAACTGCTAGGATTTAGGGCAACAGCTATCATGTCCAGTCTAAAACTTGGGATTTTAAAACTAGATGGATCCTTAGAGATTATATAGACTTCTTTCAATTTACAGCATATATTATAAATATATATAAATGTATTATTTATATTAATATTTAACAAATATGAATAATATATTTCCCCCAATCAAGCACTAATCACATATTTCTAAACCTTGAAGGATTATTCTGAGGTAGTTATGTTTTCTGTCACTGATGTTTTTGGCTATTATTGTTACTGTTGTTTGAAACATTTTTTTTTTGAGGCAGTCTCACTCTGTTGCCCCAGACTAGAGTACTATGGTGTCATGGCTCATAGCAACCTCAAACCCACGTACTTAAGCAATTCTCTTGCCTCAGCTCGTGGAGTAGCTGGGATTACAAGCATACCCTATCCTTCCGGGCTAGTTTTTCTATTTTTAGTAGAGATAAGGTCTCCTTCCTTAGGCTAGTGGCAAACTCCTCAGCTCATGGGATCCACCTGCTTCAGCCTCCCAGAGTGCTAAGATTACATGCATGAGCCATCAGCTGGCTTTTTGAAACAATGTTAATTGCTCAGGCTGCCAGTGTGAGAGAAAACAATCTGTACCAGTCCTACAGAAGCAAGTTTCTTACAGGTTAGGATTACATTCTAGGATTGTGTACAATGAAAGTACTGTACATAAATAATTAGCTTAAGTCCCTATTTGGTATAAGCAGCAGTAATACTGTAATGATTAAGAGCACAATCCCCAGAAGTATTCTCAACCAAGGGTGTTTTTTTCTCCCCTGGGGACATTTGGCAATGTCTAGAGACGTTTTTTTAGCTCATAATTGGGAGATTGCTACTGGCATCTAGTGCATTGAGGCCAAAGTGTTGTTAAACATCCTGCAATGCGCCGGAAAGCCCCAAACGTGTCAATAGTTGGAGGATTGAGAAACCCTGTTCTGAAGCCATATTGTGTTAGATTTGAATTCCAGCTCTGCTACTTCCTAGTGTGTGACTTTGCCACATTACTGAACTTCTCTGTGCTTCAGCTTTCTCATTTGTAAAGTGGGATCGTTCTGACTCTCCTTGTCTAGTTTAGAATAGGGCCCCACATGTAATAACTGCTCAGTAAAAATCAGCTAGTGCTGTAATAATTATTGTAAACTATGAATATTTAACATTACAAACTGATCACAATTTTTTTTACTATATTGCCCATATAAGTGTGATATTTTAAAAGTTTAGCACTACAGAGATCTTTTTTTTGGGGGGGGGGGTTTGCTGAGTTTGAACCCACCACCTCCGGCATATGGAACTGGCGCCCTACTCTTTTGAGCCACAGGTGCCGCCCTCTACAGAGATCTTTTGACAATTATGAATATTATAAACTAATATTTTTCTTACAATTAAAGGGGAACTTTTTGTCATGGTGCTTGCTTTAGTTTTCTAGCTTTGTTATTGCTTTAAATTAATGTTATTTAATTTAATGTCACTTTTTTCTTTATCTTTTCTTAATAGCTGGGGCTCTCAGTGCACATAGGTATTTCCGAGATAATCCTTCTGAATTATGCTGTATCATTGTAGATAGTGGATATTCCTTTACACATATAGTTCCTTATTGCAGAAGTAAAAAGAAAAAAGAAGCAATTATTCGGTGAGTTACATTTAATTGTTATGTTATTTCTAGGATGAAATGGATGAAATCTGTGATAACTGAACCAAATTTGAATTCTTCCCTTGTAGGATAAATGTGGGAGGAAAGCTCTTAACCAATCATCTAAAGGAGATCATATCCTACAGGTAATACTGAGGTTTGATTCTCTGGGAAAGTGGAACTCTGGGTAATGAACTTTTTTTAAAAAAAATTTCAGAATATTAGGGGATGTACACACTTTGTTTTTGCACAGATTGAGTCTAAGCGGCACTGTACACAATAAATGTGAATTTACCCATCCCTTCTTCCTCCCTCCCCCAGCTTGATTTCCGTTGAGATTTATTTCCATGCCTGCACTTAAGTGTTAATCAACTTGTTCTAATTTGGTACTGAATACATGTGTTTGTCTCTACATTCCTGTGATGTTTCACTTAGAAGAATCCTTTCCACTTCTGTCCAGGTTGTTGAGGATGAACTTACGTAAAGTAATTTAAAATCGTTTCTTACTTTTAGTTGTAACCATCAGTGCCCTTTCTGTATTTTTGCTTAAAAAGCTACATCACATACGTAAACGCTAGTGATGTTCAAATTGGAAAGCTTTCTAGTATGTGAATGGCAGTGTACACGAAAAAGATACTTCTAAATTCTAAGGAGTTTACATGAACATTTGTGCTACTGTTTTTAGTTTTATTGTGTTTAAAAACATACTTAGAATTCTTAAATCTCAATTTTTGCTACCTTAACTTTGGATGGTATGATACTATCCATATCTCTCTGCTTCTATCTTTATGTTACGTGAGAAAATAACTAGATTTATATTTCCTTCTATTTTTTTTCTGTCATTTTTCTTCTGTCAGCTGTACCACTGCTTTTTTAAAGGCTTTGTTGAGAGATAATTCATCTACCATGTAATTCAGACATTTAAAATGTCTTTTAACATATATGTATACATTACAATCAATTTTAGAATATTTTCATTAAAAAAAGGAACCCATTGCCCTTAGCTATCACCCTGAGAATCTCCATCCCCTCTAGCTTTAGTAATTAAAAAAAATTCTTTTTATTTTGAAAGTAATTCTAGACTCGGGAAATTGCAAATATAGTGTGTGGTGTCCTGTATCCCCTTAATGATGTCTTTTTTTTTTTTTTTGAGAGTCTCACTTTCACCCTCGGTAGAGTGCCTTGGCATCATAGCTCACAGCAACCTCAAAGTCTTTGGCTCAAGCAATTCTCTTGCCTTAGTCTTCCAAGTAGTTGGGACTACAGGAGCCACCACAATGCCCAGCTATTTTTAGAAATGAGGTCTCACTCTTGCTCAGGCTGGTCTAGAATGCCTGGGCCTCCCAGAGTGCTGGGATTACAGGCGTGAGCCATTGTGCCCAGTCCCTTAATGATATCTTATTTAACTGTAGTACAACATCGAAACAATGAAATTGACATTGATACAATACTGTCAACTAGACTGCAGATCGTATTCAATTTTTACCATATTTTACACACATTCATTTGTGTGGGAGTATTTATAGTTCTGTGTACTTTTTATCCTGTGTATAGATTTGTGTAATCACCACCACAATGAAGATACAGAACCACAGAGAAAGTCCTCTATGCTGGCCCTTTATATTGGCTGCCCCCACCCCATCCTTTACCCCCTTCCCCGTCCTTCTCCCATGGCAACGGCTAATCTGCTTTCCATCGTAATATTTTTGTTATTTCAAGAATGTTACAGTTTCAAATAGCTAGAAAGAGATTTTGAATACAGGCAGTCCCAGGTTATAACGAGATAAATTCTGTAGATCTGTTGTTAAGTTGAATTTGTATGTAAAATGGAACCAACACATTTACCTCTTACTTGTAATAGCCTCCATTTCTAAATGTGAGTGACATGTCAGTAGAATGTAACTCAGGGATTCACTATAATAGTCTCCATTGGTAAGTGTGAATTATTTGTAAGTTGGATGTTTATAACTCAGGGACTGCTGGTACTTGCAACTCAAAGAAATGAAAGATACTGAAATGAAGGATATTCTAATTACCCTGATCTGATCACTATATATTATTTGTATCACTGTGTGGACTATTAATATATACAGTTATTTTGTGTCAATTTAAAAAATATACATGTACATTTTTAAATACGGGGCAGGCAACTCTCATTCTTGCTGTACATATAACAGTTTTAACCTTAAAAATAATTATAGGATGGGAATGGTGGCTCACATATATAATCCTAGTACTCTGGGAGGCCAAGGCAGGACGATTGCTTGAGGTCAAGAGTTAGAGACCAGCCTGGACAACCTAGCAAGATCCTTGCCTCTGTGGAAAAAAAAAACAAAAAAAGTCGACAGGGCATGATAGTGAGCCCCTATAGTTCCAGCTACTCTGGAGGCTGAGGTGGGATTGCCTGAGCCCAGGAGTTGTTGGCTGCAATGAGCTTTGATGATTGCACTCAAGTCTGGGAGGTACAGTTGTAGCAAGACCTTGTCTCTTACAAAAAATTATATACTAGAAGACAAAAAGAATTTACAGAACAGAGTCATACAGATTTATATGGTATATAGCCAGTAGGTATTTGACTTTTCTCTCTTTTTTTAACTTTTTTTTGCAGTTTTTGGCTGGGGCCGGGTTTGAACCCACCACCTCTGGTAGGCTCTACTCCTTTGAGCCACAGGCACTGCCCTTGACTTTTCTCTTTAAGCATAATGCTGTGCAGTTTCTTTTTTTTGAGACTGGAGCCTCCAGCTGTCCCCCTGGGTAGAGTGCTGTGGCATCACAGCTCACAGCAACCTCCAAGTCCTGGGCTCAAGCGAGTCTCCTGCCTCAGCCTCCCAAGTAGCTGAGACCACAGGCGCCCACCACAACGCCTGGCTATTTTTTTTTTTGGTTGCAGCCATCATTGTTGTTTGGTGGGCCCAGGCTGGATTCAAAACCGCCACCTTGGGTGTATGTGGCTGGTGCCTTAGCCATTTGAGCCACAGGCACCAAGCCGCAATTTCTTACTTATTTTTTCTTTCTTTCTTTTTTTTTTTTTTTTGACACAGAGTCTCACTCTGTTGCCCAGCTAGGGTGTCATAGTGTTATATCTCACAGCAGCCTTAAACTCCTAGGCTTGAGTTATCCTCCTGCCTCAGCCTTTTGCATACCTGGAACAATAGGCACGCACCTGTTTCTTTCTTTCTTTTCTTTCTTTCTTTCTCTTTTTCTTCTTTCTCTCTTTCTTTCTTCTCATTCTGTTACCCTGGGTAGAGTGCCGTCCCATCATACCTCACAGCAACCTCAAACTCTTGGGCTTGAGAGACCCTCTTGCCTCAGCCTCCCAAGTAGCTGGGACTACAGGTGCCCCCCCCCACACACACACACACAATGCCCAGCTATATTTTTAGAGACAGAGTCTCATTCTTGCTGAGGCTGGTCTCAAACTTCTGAGCTCAGGTGGTCCACCTGCCTCAGCCTTCCAGAGGGCTAGGATTATAAGCATGAGCCACCACACCCAGCCTGCCGAGGGTTGTCTTGAACTCTTGGCTTCAATCAGTCCTCCTGTGTTGGTCTCCAAAAGTGCTGGGATTATAGGCTCAAACCACTGTGCCTGGTTGTTTTCATAAATACATTTATATATTTTTGAGACAGAGTCTCACTAGGTCATCCTTGGTAGAGTGACATGGCATCACAGCTCACAGCAATCTCCACCTCTTGGGCTTAAGCAATTCTCTTGCCTCAGCCTCCCAAGTAGCTGGGACTACAGGTGCCGGCCGCAACGCCCAGCTATTTTTTTGTTGCAGTTGTCGTCGTTTAGCTGGGCCAGGCTGAGTTCAAACCTGCCAGCCTCTGTGTATGTGGCCGGCACCCTACCCTCTGAGTTATGGGCACCACCTGTTTTCATAAATATTGAAATTGAAAACATTTAGATGCCACTTTTACTTCTAGCTAAATCTCTCTTGTTTTCTCTGGCCATGTTTAGGATTAACACTACAACCAGAAAACAGAAAACTCTTAAGTAGCATTTATGGCATGGGAATGCTGTTCACTACAGTCCCCCCAAAATTTGGCTTGATTTTAATAAGTTTGGGTATATAGTCCTCCACACCGGTCAGATTAGAGGAGGCAAACTGGAAAGAGAGAATAGGTTGCAACAGATGCGAAGTTTCCAAAACCAAGGCAGTTTGGAGCCAGAGCTTGTGCATTAACTCCTCCAGGTTGAATGAATGAAGAACTCATGTTAAACAAACAAAGGTGTTGAATTTCAACTTTGAGGAGGATAAGCTGGCAAAAATAGCTAGGAATATTTATTATAAAGAATAATGACTCATGCCTGTAATCCCAGCACTCTGGGAGGCTGAGGCAGGTGGATTGCTTTAGCTCACAGGTTCGAGACCAGCCTGAGCCAGAGCGAGACCTCATCTCAAAATAGCTGGGCATTGTCATGGGTGCCTGTAGTCCCAGCTACTCCGGAGGCTGAGGCAAGAAAATTGCTTCAGCCCAAGTGTGTGAGGTTGCTGTGAGCTATGATACGACGGCACTCTACTGAGGGTGACAAAGTAAGACTCTGTCTCAAAAAAAGAAAAACAAAAAACAAACAAACAAAAACCTAATAATTAAACCAAGGTGGTAGGCCAGGCAAGGTGGCTTATGCTTATAGTCCCAGCTACTCCGGACACTGAGTCAAGAAGACCGCTTCAGCTTAAGAACTTGAGGTTGCTGTGGGCTATGACACTATAGCATTCTACCCAGGGAGACTCTGTCTCAAAAAAAAAAAAAAAAAAAAAAAGATTTAAAATTTCAAAATATATTTTAAGTGATAATTATGAATTATATCTAAATTTTTCCCATTCCAAATATTACAACTTTTATTTCTGTTAGGCAGCTACATGTTATGGATGAAACACATGTGATAAACCAAGTAAAAGAAGATGTATGCTATGTGTCTCAGGATTTTTATAGAGACATGGATATTGCAAAGTAAGTATAATTGTCGCCTGCATACTGGGAAGTTGATTCTTGAGGGTTGATGCACAAAATTAAAACGTTTTTGTTTTCCAGATTGAAAGGAGAAGAAAATACAGTAATGATAGACTATGTTTTGCCTGACTTCAGTACAATTAAGAAGGGCTTTTGTAAGGTAATTTTAAAACTTATTAAGGGTATTTATTAAAGTGACCACCTTAGTCATACGTGAAAAGCATTTTATGGTTCAGCTGGGATTAGTACGGCCTTAGAGAATTGTTGGTGACTACCTTCCAGGGACAAGTGAAATTTGAAAAGTTTCTCACTAAATTTATTTAGAAAAAGAGTATCAGCCAATTAATTGATAGGACACGGAACAAATCTAGAGAGAAACAGCATCATTACCTATGTTATGGTTAATCTGTTTCTGTTGATCGAAGAATCACTTTGAATCCAGTTAGAAATTGGTTACTTTCCTGTTTTGAAAATTATTAACATAGCTGACCCAAGGCCAAATTTTACTCCTGTTTGGTCTAATATGATAGGATTGTAGTTGAAAAGGACAAAATCCAGTGGACTTTCAAAGTGTTGGGAAGCAATTTATCTTGGATGTCACAATAATTTGTCCTTATCTTTGATGAGCTCAGATAAAATCAGTTCTGGGTCAGTGTGAAGTTTGCCCTTCTACTTACCAGCTTGACAAAGACTGCTGGGAGGTTAGAAATCGTTGGTCAGAAACATAAGGACATTTGCATAAGGAGACATTTATGTTGATATTCATTCTAGTATACTTTAAAAAACAGTAATAAAATTGGGAACAGCCTAAATATCCACTAGAGAAAGGATAATAAATAACTTCAAATACGTTCATATTATAAAATAATCACTAGTGAAAATGAAATAGAGCTACATGATGAACATGGATAAATCAGAAGTCTCATGTTGTTTAATAGAAAAGCAAGTTTTTGAAAGTGACATACCCTTTCAATCTCTGTGGAATAATAACATTATTTAGGTATACATAAATATGAAGAGTATAAACTATTTTTGTGAATGATGAAACATCAGATTTGAAAGGGGAATGCCAGTTTATCTGTAAAGTTGCATTAGGCCTGGAAGAGGTGGCTTACTGCCTGTAATCCCAGCACTTTGGGAAGACAAGACAAGAGGATATCTTGAGCCTAGGAGTACAAGAGGATGGGCAACATAGTGAGACTCTATCCCCACAAAATTTTGTTTAAAAATTAGCTGGGTGTGGTGGCATGTGCCTGTAGTCCCAGCTACTCAAGAGCTGAGGTAGGAGGCTCCCTTGAGTCCAGGACGTCAGTGTGGCAGAGAGCTATGATGGTGCCACTGCACTCTAGCCTAGGCGATGAGCGAGAAAAAGTAGAAATAAAAAGGGCAGGGGTGGGATGGGGCTTGGACTGCAATAGTTTATTCAACAGTACTTTCAAATACTTATGAAAAAGCTGCAACCTTGCTTTTATAGCGCTAATGATAGTAACAATAACAATAAAAATAAGGCCTGTAATATCACAGCGATTACAACTGATAGAAATTCCAGTTCATCTCTCATCAGAAAGAGGAAGCCCACTGAAGTGTGATGCATCTGGCTGACCTAAATGGAGAAAATTGCCCTCGTCATAATGATTATCACTTTCTGCAGAGCTGATGTGATATAAACTGATCATTTTTTTAATGGTTCCAGAACTGACTTTATGAGGGCCACGCAGTAAACATGGCCGACACTGACAAAAATACCAACTCCCAGCAACCCTTATAAATTCCTTCATTTATGTAAGTCTAAAACAAAAATCCTTTTGGGATTACACCCTTAAAAATAAAAACTGCTTGTCCTGGGTTATATATTAACAACTAATGGCATCATTGCTAACATTCAACAAGGATATCTAATTATGGCTCCCTCTCCTAGTTAGATAGTTGATCTTGGATAAGTCACATGGTCCTCTTCTATCAATAAGGAGTGTGAACTAGATAATGCCCAAGGTTTCGACAACTGTAATTCTTCAAGTCTGCATCTGTCTCAGGTTATTGTTATTATTTTTTTTAAGAGACAGGGTCTCATCTTGTTGCCCAGACTAGAGTACAATAGCACTATCATAGCTCATTGCAGCCTTGAACTCCTGGACAGTCCTCAAGTGCTCTTCCCACCTCAGCCTCCCTGGTAGTTAGGACTGTAAGCATGTACAACCATGTCCAGCAAACTTCAAAAAATTTTTTTCTGTAGTCATAGGGGTCTAGAACTCTTAAGTCTGAAACGATCCTCCTGCTTATTTTGTTAATACCCAGAGTGGCTTGGCTTTAAATGAATTTGTATTTTTAAATTTGTAAATTTAAAGGAAAAAATTTCCATTCTGCCTACGAAGGAAAAATACCTGTGTGAGGAAAGATATTCTCTTTGTTACCAAAGCAATAACTTAGTTGAGTTTAAAGTGATTTATAGGTTTTTGTTCTCTCTGGAGTATTGTGAATATTCTGTAATTTTCAGGATAGTTTTTACTTAAAAATAATATTTTGAGCATGGAATTCCCAAATGATAGACATCTGATCATATCCAGATTGAATGGCAACGTAGTGAAAGGAATATTTTATATGAGCGTTTGGGTTTTTATGTGAATATCCTCTGAACAAGGTATAACCTTGAAGAACCCAATTGCACACTTACTGAAAGAAAAATATCCCCATCTTATAGGGTTTATGTGAGAATTCACCCAGGCATGTTTGAAATGTGCCTAATACAATGAATGGCACATTGTTGGTTCACATGTCATTATTCAAGAGTTTACTGAATGCCTCCTATGTACCGGTTACTATCTTATGTTTGGCAGTGGATATGTGGAGGTGAGTGCTATGGGCTGAGAAGGGCACTATAGGGTGATGGAGAATAGTGGAGGGTCTTTTTATTTGGAAGTCAGAAAAAACTCTGAGAAAACTGAAATCTGAATAGAGAGTAGATGGCTTGATATGTTAAGGAACCTTTATATCTAAGTCAAATGAAATGAATGTAATTGACTCTAGAAGAGCTGACGAATCTATAATATTGAAAGAAACAGTTACTTTAGTGATACAGAATATCGTGGAAGGAGATTATTTGTTTCTGGCTCCTTTAGCAACAGAACGTGTAGGTTAGCAGAAAATAAAGAACAAGAGAATATAAGTCATGGTTGTTCAAAGTTTGTGTTGTGTTATGGACATAGGCCTCCTACTAAGTTGGCGTTATCAAGTAATTTCAAGGATAAAACTATTTTCTTTTTGGCAGGGGCTGGGTTTGAACCCACCACCTCTGGCATATGGGGCCAACGCCCTACCCCTTTGAGCCACAGGTACCACCCAAGACTGTATTTTCTTAAATCATTTGGAGATTAATTTTGAATAGAGTGTGAATAGTAAAGAAATTCAAAGATGTAGGCTTTTTACACTAGGGAAAGGGGAAATACTAATAGAATACAACCACACACCTAGTAAACACCTGCTGTAGGGAGGAAAGATAAATGCCTGAAGTGGGAAGTGAAAGTAGATAGTGGCAGGAACACAAGACATGCTGATTTTTTTTTATTATTATTTAAAGTGGATTCTTTGTTCTCTAAAATTGCAATCAGTGTACCATTGATAGATTATAAAGTTCCCTGTTTTCTGTTCTCCTTTTCTGTATTTTAAAAATGTGTGAAATAAAGCTTCTAGATTGTCCTTGGGGGGCTGTATTAGAGGCAGGAATTATTTGTGTGGTTTGAACGACAGGAGAGAAGGCCACCTTTTTCTAACTTTTGAGAATGTTGGTACTTACAAGAACATAGTTAACATATTAGTATTACATATCACTAAAAATTTCTTTTTTTTTTTTTTTTTTGAGAGACAGAGTCATACTTTGATACCCATGCTAGAGTGCCGTTCTGTTAGCCTAGCTCATAGCAACCTCAAACTCCTGAACTCAAACGATCCTCCTTCCTCAGCCTCCAAAGTAGTTGGCACTATAGACACCCATCACTGTGCCTGGCTAGTATTTTCTGTTTTTAGTAGAGACGAGGTCTCATTCTTCTTCAGGCTGATCTCAAACTCCTGAGCTCAAGGGATCTTCCTGCCTTGGCCTTCCAGAGTGCTAGATGTACAGGCAGAAGCCACCTTGCCCACTCATTACTAATTATTATTTGCCATCTGAGCAGATAATGTAATTTAAACTTTTAATCTTATTTTCCTTTAAGCCAAGGGAAGAGATGGTGTTGAGTGGAAAATATAAATCTGGGGAACAGATTCTTCGTCTGGCCAATGAGCGATTTGCTGTTCCCGAAATACTTTTTAATCCTTCTGATATAGGCATTCAAGAAATGGGAATTCCAGAAGCCATTGTCTATTCAATTCAGAACTTACCTGAAGGTGCGTAAATAATTACAGTAAAATATTGAAGAATAATGGTATGTTTAAATATCATGTGCTCTATGAACCCTGTGTCTTCTCAGTAATTTCAGGCAAATGGCAAGTCTCTTTTATTTACAGAGATTTCAGATCCCATGATACACTTAAATAAGTCTTGATGCTGGACGTGACGACGTGTACCTGTAATCCCAGCTACTTGGGAGGATCAATTGAGCCTAGGAGTTTGGGACCAGCCTAGGGAACATGTCTCAAATTTTTTTTTTACTTGATTCATCCTACATTATAAATCTAATATAGGAAAAGTCATTAAAGAGTATTTTTATAGCTTATCATCCTCGTTCATAAGGGAGACTCTAGCACATTCAGGATGCTTTCCTCTCATTTAAAAAAAAAATTTAGAAGTCACAAACAGTTATCACCTCATTATTTCACAACTATGTTCATATTAATACCACATTTTATATAGAGTTGTAATTGTGATATATGCAGGATTTTGTACTATACTGCTTTAGTGTTGTGAGACTCAGTGTTAATATAAGAGAACGCTACCTTTTTTTTTTTTTCTTTGAGACAGAGTCTCATTATGTCACCCTCAGTACAGTGCTGTGGCATCACAGCTCATGGCAATCTCCAACTCTTGGGCTGAAGTGATTCTCTTGCTTCAGCCTCCCGAGTAGCTGGGACTGCAGGTGCCCATCACAACACGTGGCTATTTTTTGGTTGTAGTTGTCATTGTTGTTTGGCAGCTCCTGGCCAGGTTCAGACCTGCCAGCTCCAGTGTATGTGGCAGGCACCCTACCCACTGAGCTACAGGTGCTAAGCCTCTACCCTTATTTTGGTGAACAGAACTATTAAATGGGATGGCCAATCCCTATTAATTCCTGACGGATTTCCTGGTGGTGCTTTGTAGGCTTTTTTTTTTTTTTTTTTAAATTAAAAGACAGAGTCTCGCTGTGTTGCTCATGCTGGACTCTGAATTTCTGGGCTCAAGCAGTGTGTGTCTGCTTCAACCTTCCAACTAGCTGGGACTATAGGCTTTTTTTTTGAGACAGAGCCCCAAGCTGTCCCCCTGGGTAGAGTGCCATGGTGTCGCAGCTCACAGCAACCTCCAACTCCTGGGCTCAAGCGAGTCTCCTGCCTCTGCCTCCCAAGTAGCTGGGACCACAGGTGCCCGCCACAGCGCTCCGCTATTTTTTTTGGTTGCAGCCATCATCGTTGTTTGGCGGGCCCGGGCTGGATTCGAACCTGCCACCTTAGGTGTATTTGGCTGGCCCCTCAGCCACTTGAGCCACAGGCAGTGAGCCAACGTTTTTTGTTTTTTTTTTAATTAAAAGACAGAGTCTTGCTGTATTGCTCTTGCTGGACTCTGAACTTCTGGACTCAAGCAGTGTGCGTCTGCTTCAACCTTCCAACTAGCTGGGACTATAGGCTTTTTTTTTTTGAGACAGAGCCTCAGGCTATCCCCCTGGGTGGAGTGCTGTGGCATCACAGCTCACAGCAACCTCTAACTCTTGGGCTCAAGCGAGTCTCCTGCCTCAGCTTCCCAAGTAGCTGGGAACACAGATGCTCGCCACAGTGTCTGGCTATTTTTGGTTGCAGCCGTCATTGTTGTTTTGGTGGCCCGGGCTGGATTTGAACCCGCCACCTTAGGTGTATGTAGCTGGCACCTTAGCCACTTGAGCCACAGGCTTTTGATACTGGCTAAGCTTATGTTTCCCCCCAGTAGATCCCTTTTTTAGACTGAGTCTCACTCTGTTGTTAAGGCTGGAGTGCCATGGTTTATCTAACAGCAACCTCAAACTCCTGGGTTTAAGCGATTTTCTTGCCTCAGCCTCCTGCATAGCTGAGACTGTACATGTGAGCCATGATACCTAACTAATTTTCCTATTTTTATTTTATTTTTTGGAGATAGTCTAACTTTGTCATCCTTAGTAGAGTGCTGTGGCGTCATGGCTCACAGCAAATTCAAACTCATGGGCTCAAGAGATCCTTTTGCCTCAGCCTCACAAGTAGCTGGGACTACAGGGACCTGCCACAACACCTGGCTATTTTTTACTCCTGTTCTTGCTCAGGCTGGTCTCGAACTTGTGAGCTTAGGAAATCCACCTGTCTCAGCCTCCCAGAGTGCTAGGATTGTAGGCATGAGCATGGCTAGTTTTTTTATTTTTAGTAGAGCTGGTGTCTCACTTTTCCTCAGCCTGGTCTCAAACTCCTGAGCTCACTGGATCCTCCTTCCTTGGCCCTACAGAGTGCTTGGATTGTATGCATAAGCCACTGAGCCTTGCCCACACTTAGATCCCGTCTTTAAATACTGTTACAGAGTCTAAGAGGGCATACATTATCAAATGTATGTATTGCACAATAATTATGTTTCACTCAGTGAGATAACATGGAAAGTAAGGATCATAGGTTAAATGCCATAAAAGACTCCTTTCCAACTTTATGCTTGCTCACCATCTCAGCCTACAGCAAGGCCCCTCCATTTTAGGGAAGAATGATTATAATTATCAGAGGTCTGCTACTAGAATGTCACTCACTTACATACAGCTTGCATGAGTACATAGTAAGTAGCCAGTAGTTAACCCCCCTCACCCTGGCTTTTTCTTTTAAAGGTCCATGAGGTCATATTTCACTCTGCTTAGTGTCTCTAGTTATGTATACTCTAATCTCGTTACAAATCGTAGACTGGATCTCAAAAATCATGTGGTTCCTCAACTAGTAACTGTAATCCTTAGTTGCTTTTTAAAAAATGTTTAAAGAGGGGCAGCGCCTGTGGCTCAAAGGGGTAGGGCGCTAGCCCCATATGCCGGAGGTGGAGGGTTCAAACCCAGCCCTGGCCAAAAACTGCAAAAAAAAAAATGTTTAAAGGAATTTTAATTTTTTTTTTAGAGACAGAGTCTCACTTTATCACCCTTGTTAGAGTGCCATGACATCACACCTCACAGCAACCTGCAACTCCTGGGTTTAGGCGATTCTCTTGCCTCAACCTCCTAAGTAGCTGAGACTAAAGGCACCTGCCACAATGCCCGGGTATTGTTTGTTGCAGTTTGGCCAGGGCCAGGTTCAAACCTGCCACCCTCAGTATATGGGGCCGGCGCCCTACCCACTGAGCCACAGGCGCCACCCAAGGAATTTTAATTTTTTTAGAGGCGGGGTCTTGCTCTGTCACTTAGACTGGCTGGAGGGCAGTGGTTTGATCATAACTCACTGCCTGGACTAGGATCTAACTCCTGGGCTCAAGGGATCTTCCCTGCTCAGCCTCCCAATGTAGCTGGGACTCTAGGCATGTGCTTTCATGCCTGGCTAAGTTTTAAAAGTTTTTGTAGAGAGAGACAATATCTGACTATGTTGCTCAGACTGGCCTAATTGTTAACTTACCTCATCTACTACGTCTTTCCAGAGTAAGTGAAAAGAATTTCTAAGACCTTTTTTCCCCCTTTCTCCTTTTGTTTTCCTTTTACAGAAATGCAGCCACATTTTTTTAAGAACATTGTTCTGACAGGAGGAAATTCCCTCTTCCCAGGATTTAGGGATCGCGTTTACTCAGAAGTTCGATGTCTTACTCCAACAGATTATGATGTTTCTGTCGTGCTGCCTGAAAAGTAAGTGTTGCTTTATATAGAAACAAAACCTGGAATTCACCTTGTAGAAAAGGTGGTCCGTAGGCAGGCTTGCGTTTAAAGCCTGGTTCTCCCATGTTGTAAGCTGATTTAACCAGTTGGAGCTTCATTTTCCTTTGTTCAGAAATTGAAGTGATAAACCTTGCATTTCAGTGAGTTAAATGTAATGGAAGGATGTAAGTGCTAACCATAGTGTTTGGTACATAATGGGTGCTCAATTAACATGCAACTCCTTCCATATAGCAAACCAGTCCTTGTTCCTAAAAGATTTTTACAGGCAAAGCAATCAGGTTATTTATGTGATTTATCTGAGATACCATTTCTTGACAGTTTTCATTTTCATTTATTTATTTATTTATTTTTTCTGAGACAATCTCGCTGTGTTGCCCTGGGTAGAGTGCCGTGGAGTCATAGCTCACAGCAACCTCAAACTCTTAGGCTCAGGCAACCTCTTACTTCAGCCTCCAGAGTAGCTGGGACTATAGGCATCCACCACATTGCCCTGCTAGTTTTTCTTTTCTTTTCTTATTTTTTTTTTTTTTTTTTTTTGAGACAGTCTCACTAAGTTGACTTGGGTAGAGTGCCGAGCCTCATAGCTCACAGCAGCCTCAAACTCCTGGGCTCAAGTGATTCTCTGGTCTAAGCCTCCTGAATAGCTGGGACTACAGGTGCCCACCACAATGTCCAGCTATTTTTAGAGATGGGGTCTTGCTCTAGTTTTTATCAAGAATAGAATTTAAGAATGGAATCATCAAGGTAAGTTATGTCAATTCATAAGTTGTTTTGGAATTTTGGAAAATTCTAAATATTTTTAATTTTAAATGACTTTAACATTTAAGTGTTCTTTTCTTAAGAATTCAAAACTGTGGCTCGGCGCCTGTAGCTCAAGTGGCTAAGGTGCCAGCCACATACACCTAAGGTGGCAGGTCCGAATCCAGCCCGGACCCACCAAACAACAATGA